ACCAATATACAGTCAACGTTCAGGAAGGGGGACCGCGGGCATACAAACGCTGCCTGGGAAGACTGGTGGCGGTAAAGCGGTTCGAACCCGGGACTCACACGTCAAACGTTGATTGAACATTAACCCATCAGACAGTACAACAGAAACCGAGATATTGGAAAAACTTTGCTAATAAAACCAACTGGTCGAGTAATCATGCTGAGAAATAGCCGGAGAATGATCTGCGGAAGCGCACTGATTTGTCATCCCCTTAAGAACAGTTGACAAATATACTATAACAACTATTCTATCTTTGAAAATAAATTTCGATTTATCTGTGAGTTAGCAGAATTTACAGATTGTCATCTGTCTCCGGTTATTGCTGTCGGGCCAAATGAACTGACTAACTATCACTGAAGACGACACCCGAACAAACATGAACTTACAATTCGGTTCAGCCATGGTATGAGCTCGTTGGTACAGTGATAACGCGCACGCCTTCCATGCAATGGGTCCGGAGTTCAAATCCTGTACGGGATGGTAGATATGCACTACTGATGAGCTCTAATAAGAGAGAAACTTGAAATTAGTGCTTCCGAGTGTATGGTTTGAACCGATGAACTGAGGATTGTGCGTGAAGGTAAAGTCCGAAGGATAGTCAGTTCAAAACAATTAATGAATTTATGTGCACAACATTTGATCTACTCTGAGGAACTCAAACAATACATGTAATACTTTATTGGGACACTTGCCAGCGGTCGTCACGAACAATTTATGCCTGAGTGCTCTTCCTAAACTGCAAAACTGCACTAAGTTACTATAACTGAACACATTTTTAGGATGCACCAACTTCATCGGTTGATAGTTAGTTTAATTTTCTGATTTATCAGCTCGACGTGTTTTGTCCAATTCTCAGTCGGCTTGGTCATCCACGGTTAGATCAGTAGAGGTAATCTCATTTTGTCGAACTCATTCAAATTCAGTAGGATAATATTGATGAAATCATAAAACAAAGTCGTGATTGTTATTAGAACATAAATCATGGGTGGATATCCATTTTTGGTAAGCTCATTTTTAAGCAATTATAATCACATTTATGCAACAAAATAACCCGAGAGTGATGCATTGGAGTCGATGTCGAATGTTAATGAAGAATGAGTGGGTTGGGGACGAATTCGTCTCAATAGTTCTCTTGTTCAAGCAGAAGCGGGTTGCCTTGGCGTTGATAATTGATTTGGTTCGATACCAACCTCATGCGTGATTTTGCCCACTTTGAGTCAATAAAGCTTAACTGTTTGAACAAGTGTTTTTCAGCCCCCAATTCCGGCTTCAACAAGCGGATGACCATTGCTTCGGCTGTTCCTAGCGTTTTATTTCAAACAACCTTGAATTTCACACGATATCTATGGATGGAACGGATCCCACTGAAAAACTTGGGCGTCGTGCTCATGAGTTTTGAGCAAATTAGCTTGTCTTAGCCACGACGAGTGAAAAACCAAAACACACATGCACATACACATACACGCGTGCTCCAATCACATCC